TATCAGAATAGGGTCTGATTTTACAAAAACTTAATTCAACCTTGCATTCACCATCTGTTGCTTAATCTGGTCAAGATCTGCTTACTTTAATTATATCATTAGGAATTATTGTTATACTGTTTAGTGCTGGGAAGTATTAAACAATTGATATAATGCTACAGAAAATTGTTATAAACTGAACTGATTGTCCATTGTACGTTCATACGTTGGCAGTGTAATCGTGAGTCAGATATTAAATTGCTGTGTATTCGGGGTCAGAAAGGTCCTAAGTGATTGATCATTGAAGTCTGAGAACGCAGTGCAGATTACCTGACAATGAAAAGAGCTGTTAGTCGCAGACTTGCAGACATCACTAGCATACATGGCTGTGTTGTCCATCCCTAGAACCAGCTGTTTGAGCCCAACCCGACATGTATAGGACACACGTCATAGAAGAGTCTCAGTATTTTTCCATGCTCCCCTCAGCCCCCTGGCCTATGTGATTATCACAAAATCAGTTGAAGCCAGTGTTGCCCGCGGCTTCACAGACAACAGAGGGCCAAGTGTCCTTCAGGCCCGTGTCCGCTGCTCACTGGAGGCTGAATGCGGACGAATAGTACTGGACAAAGCAGGACAGGGCTGGGTGCTGTGTGTTGACGACTCGACTGTCTGTGCGAGCAGTGTGCTCTCAGCTGGGTCTCATATAGGGAGATGGTGTAGAAAGTCACTCTGGTATTTTGAGACGCCTCTTTATCAATTTTCTGGCTGTGAATGAATTATGAAGCACCCCAAGAAGTCACAATTGAACTGAAGGTCTAAAAGTGGGGAAGACAGCTGTATCATTGTACAGCAAGGTGCATACTACTGCTTTTTCTACAAATAATTACTGCAATTAAAAATCTGTGCTCATCGACTGAGAACTGCTGCTGTTAAAGGTAGAAGGCACTGACGTACAGTACATGTCAGCTAAGGGGAAGAGACAGTCTGTTCTTAGTGCAGATGATTGGAGGGTTTGATGTATGAAGCAATCAGCACCTCTGTGCTTCGCTGTGATCCAGGGCCTCCCTGCACGCAACAGTTTGGACAGATTTTGTATTCAGCAAAGGCAGAGT